TTCCGGATTTAAATAAACTAAACTCCATGCCCCAAACCCTACAACACCCAAACTCCCTGAACTCCCACAATTTCCGGAATGACACTCTTTGACCCTATACAACCCTCCATAACCCAAACCCTTCACTCCCAACCAGCGACGGACACCCAGGCCTTGCCCGAAGAGGCGGCTACGGGCGTGCCAACCTGGTGCATCACTTCCCTCATCCCTCAACCTTAAACCTTTATGTGAGCCCCTATATGCGTTTGGAGGTGAGGTAGTGGCTCCTTCTTTACCAGCCATTACTTCAGCAGCAAAGGCGAAGCCTGAACACTACGACCAACAAAATGAATCAAAACCCTACCTCCTCACTTTCTGGTGATAGGTCATGCATGTCGCACAGCACTTGCCGCTCCACAAGATACCCCAAACCCTACTACCCTAATACCCTAAAACCCTAATGCCCTAAACCCTACTACCCTACTACCCTAAGACCCGCAGACCCTAATATCCTACTACGCTAAACCCTAAACCCTAAACCCTAAACCCTAAACCCTAAACCCTCAAGAGCTGACCAGTCGCTGTCTGCTTCACCACCCGCGCGCCGGAGGCCGCGTCCGCAGCGCCCGCGGCGGGCGTCGTGCCCGCGGATATTGAGGCTAAAGAGGACGACGCAGCCGTGGTCTTGCAAAGATTCCATGTTTTTAGGGTTTAGGGTTTAGGGTTTACGGTGGAGGGTTTAGGGCCGTGTCTGCACGGTTCTGGAGCCTTAAGGCTCATGCGGGATCCGAGTGGATACTTTTGAGAATAGATGTTATCCCAGGGTGCAACGTTTGAACTAAGGGTATGAGTTGGAGGGGAGCCCTTTCTCGGCAACAGCTGTGTCTCAAACTGCCCCAAGACTCCCTGAAAGCACCAATCTTCTGAATCCCTATATCTCTGCCCTAAACCCTGAACCCTGAACCCTAAACTCCATGTTGAGGGCTGACATCCAGGCCTTGCCCGAAGAGGCAGAGACAGGTGTGCCCACCTGGGTGATGTGCAGCAATATGTGTGGGCCGTTAGCACTAAGATGGGTCCCTACGCTATAAACCCTAAGCCAAAAGAAATCAGGGCACCTAAGTGTGGAGCCGTGATTTAGAGCAGTCACCACGTGACGTTAACTGCTCATGCTCTCAGTGAGTTGGGGTTTTGGAAGCCTTTTGGGGGCTCTTCGGATGCAACCTAGGAGCTTCAGCAACTGTCCTGGCAATCCCTGTGACAAGGAGCACAAGAAAGTGCCCTAATCCCCAAAAGGGCTCACCTTCAACGAGAGCTCAGCTCGACATTTTGCCCTCTGAACTATGAGGGCTCTCGTTTTTATCCATCATCTCTGCCACTTTCAACTAAACCCTTGAAACCCCCTACCAAGAGTCCTACGTACCCAAAAGAGCAGCCCCAGATTCTCTGAAAGAGGAGAAAGTTCCTGAATTCTTGGGTAATTCAGCTGCAGGGAATTCCTCGGTAAGCCCCGTTAAGCCTCCTCTGCAGATGCTGCCTGGCTGCTGTCTGCTTCACCACCCAGCCGCCCGAGGCCGCGTCCGCAGTGGCCGCAGAAGGCGCCGTGGCCGCCACCGGGGTGGCCGTGGCCTTCTGCAGGAATTTTTTGGGCTGAAGGTCTTGAAGGCTTCTAGGGGTTGTTAAGATGGGGTGAAGGGTGGCTTTAGGGCTTGTATGCTTCAGGGGTTCGCATGATTCGCATCATGGTTTTTAGGTCTTTTAAGCCCTGATGTTTCCAAAAAGGCTTCCGCCGGTCACTGTTGTAAAGCCCACGCCCCGGACAAGCTGAATTCGCATCGTATTCGGATAATTTTGAAACGGCACAAGTTCCGCAATAGTGCTAAGGACGGTTGGATCTAGGGGGCAGGACATTTCTTTAAGTCTCAAACCCTAAGCCTGAACCCTCTAAACCCTCTTTCGAACGCTGCAAAAATGTGGTCCAAGAGGCTCTTCGGATGGGGCTGGACCCGCCAGAGGAGGCCAAGCCGGCTGACACGGACTTTTTCACCTGGGCTCCGACGTTCTTGCTGTGGAGTTCAGGGGTCACTAAAGGGCTTTCGGGTTTATTGGGGGGTTTGGAGTCTTGGAGCTTCAGGGATTCAGGATTCAGGGCAATAATTACTCCGAATCTCCAGAGAGAAATACCTCGAACACCCCAAGCCCTAAACCCTAAACCCTGAACCCTAAACCCTAAACCCAAGCCTCCTAAACCCTAAACCGCAAACAACAAAAGTCCCGGCAGGCAGCCGTTACGGAGACGGTGCCGTGGGTGGCGGGACCTCGTCTCACCAGGGGCCCCGCAGCGGCATCGCCGCCTGACGTTGGGGGCTTTCGGGGGTTAGGGCTTTAAAGGGTTTGGGATAGGGCTCTGAAGGGTCAAAGGGTTTAGGGTTTCGGGTTTAGGGTTTAGGGCTTGCCTTCGGTTTAGGGTTGGGGCTTTCCGGTTTTTGAGTCTTGAGGTGGGTTTTCAGCGTGAGGGTTACGGCTTTGGCTCCAGGGTCCAGGATCCTCCAAGCCCTAATCCTTGGGATGTTCTCCCTTTTTCGAAGAGTCCTTCAAGGGGATTCTAGTAGGGTAGCACGCTGATCCATACTAAGGACTGTTAGTATAAGGGGGATCATCCCCACCTTAACCCCAACCAGGGGCGCCCGCAAGCGCGGCGAGCCTCCCAGGGGCGCGTAAGACATGGCGGGCGCAACCAACCTTGGGGGGCAGCGGAGGTGCGAAAATCGAAACCCCCAAATCCCTAAATCCCAAACCCCCAAATCCCAAATCCCAAATCCCAAATCCCAAATCCCAACCCCCAAAACCCCAAAACCCCAAAACCCCAAAACCCCAAACCCTAACCCCAAATCTAAACCCTAAACCCCTAAACCCCTAAACCCCTGAACCCCTAAACCCCTATAAACCCCTATAAACCCCTATAAACCCCTATAAACCCCTATAAACCCCTAAACCCCTAAACCCTGAAGGGATGCAAGAGGGACCACGGGTCGTATGGGGGCCCCAAGACCCAGAATGCACAACAAAACACCTGGAACTAAAGCCCTATTGAACCCTACACCCTGAGTCCATAAGCCATCAACCCCAAACCCTGACTAAACCCTAAAACCTGATTAAACCATACAATCCTTAAAACCGTAAGCCATTGACTTGCATCACAGTCACAATCACAAAAAGCCATAAACCCCAAACCAAATCGAACTACAAACTCTCATTAAACCCTAAAACCCTAAAAGCCTAACTGGGGCTCCTGTCGACCCAAGGAACATTGAGGCTGGGCCCGTCTGCATCAGCGTGGTGCTCGAGCGGCTGGACCGCAGCACCTGGGCTGGGCTTGAAATTGGGGTTTAAGGCTTATAGGGTTTAGTGTATAGGGTTTAGGGTTTGCGTTAAGGGTTTGGGTTTGGGTTTGGGGTTTGGGGTTTGGGGTTTGGGGTTTGGGGTTTGGGGTTTGGGGTTTGGGGTTTGGGGTTTGGGGTTTGGGGTTTGGGGTGTGGGGTTTGGGGTTTGGGGTTGGGGGTTTGGGGTTTGGGGTTTGGGGTTTGGGGTTTGGGGTTTGGGGTTTGGGGTTTGGGGTTTGGGGTTTGGGGTTTGGGGTTTGGGGTTTGGGGTTTGCACCGTTAAGGTTTTGGGTTACTGGGGTTTAGGGTGTGTAATTAGGGATTAGGGTTTAGATAGTTTCTATTTGATGGTGGCGTGCTGGGTCTTACGGGGCCGCATGGGTGGCAACAGGGTTTCAGCAGGGTTTTTGTGGGGTCCATCGGGCGGTAGTCTCCAGCTGTATAGTCGGGTTTGCAGAACTTGTGGATTTGGGGATTCACTCTGCAGCTTTCAATTCAGCACCCCCAAAACCTGCTTTTGTATTCTTGTAGGTTACCTAGTTCGGGGCTTAGGGTTTAGGTTTTATGGTTCCCTAAGGGTAGAAGGGCCTTGGAAGCCTTGGAAGAAATTTCATAGGGACAATCCGAAAGCCTAAAACCTTAGCCAAGCTCCGAGGTGCCTGGATGGAGGCCGTCTGACCCGGCATGTGCAGCTCCATTGGTTTGTCGACTAAAGGTGCCCTCTTTTTGGGGGGTGCCTCCGCACCCACCAGGGCGTTTCGCCACTCTTCTTTTTATAACTTCTCGCCTGCGCCAAAATGGCTGAGGCGGAGGGCGCTTCATCAATCCATTCGAATTCTGACGTCTTTTCCATCCTAGGCGCTGTTGTTGATGCAAAACTCAGATTACCCCCAAGATTGTCCTACTGAAGGGACATGTACGCCTTGGCTTACTGGCTGGGTTTCTAGAGGGAGGCAGAAGGCGCAACTTTGAGTCTTTAAGGAAGTTGACCTCCTCTAACAAAAAGGCTCCAGGTTACCTTTGCGGATGATTGTGTGCCACCTCGCACGTTGTACATCAGAACCCTTAACCCCTGCAACAAATTTGCAGGCAGCAAGTCTGGTCTTGTGCGCAGGGGCTTTGGATCCCGTGTGTGTTTCTGCAGTTCTATCCCCAATACTTACGCCAGCAGAAGATCCTCTTCAAACCCAGACCCCCCCCCCCCCCCCCCCCCCGAACCGCACGGCCTCCAACCCCAAGCACGACCCAGAACCCATCTGCAACCCCCGAAACCCTCAACCACAAACCCGAAACCCTACACCCTAAACAACTCTACGCCCTAAACTCGAAACCCTACCTTTCCCCCCTTTCCCCGGCCTTTCCCCCCCCCCCCCTTTCGCCCCCCCTTTCCCCCCACCTTTACCCCCCCATTTCCCCCCTTTCGAAACAAACAAACTAAACCCTAAACCCTAAACCCTAAACCCTAAACCCTAAATCCTAAACCCCAAACCCTAAAACCTAAACCCTAAACCCTAAACCCTAAACCCTAAACCCTAAACCCTAAACCCTAAACCCTAAACCCTAAACCCTAAACCCTAAACCCTAAACCCTAAACCCTAAACCCAAACCCTAAAAGGCGGCCCAGCGCAGCGTCGGGGCCTTCAAGAGGACCGCCGCCCTGGCGCCATCCCCGCGCTTGCACGCCGCCACGAGCTCCTTCTGGGGAGGTTCTTGGGGGGCTTTATGCAGGGTTTGGGGTTTTAGGGCGTTTTTTGGGGGTTTAGGGTTTAGGGTTTAGGGTTTAGGGTTTAGGGTTTAGGGTTTAGGGTTTAGGGTTTAGGGTTTAGGGTTTAGGGTTTAGGGTTTAGGGTTTAGGGTTTAGGGTTTAGGGTTTAGGGTTTGGGGTTTGGGGTTTAGGGTTTCAAGGTTTTGGGGGTTTGGGGTTTTTGGGGTTTAGGGGTTTAGAGGTTTAGGGTTAGGGGTTTAGGGTCATGGCTTCTGCTTTGGGGGGCTTCTACGGGGATGTCGGAAGTAGGGGCTGACTTTGGAGCTTTGCAGGGTTTTGTTTCTTGGGGCATCTGGGATCTTCCAAACAGGGATTCTGGTAGGAAGGCCCCTAAACCCCAAACCAAGCCCTGAAACTTACGAACCCCAACCCTTCAAATAAAACACACACATACATATATGTGTGTACATACGAATATATGTAACATCCCTGCCTTGAACCCTATATAGCTGTGTGCATTACAGTAAAGCCCTATAAACCCTAAACCCTAAGCCGCAAACCCTAAACCCTCAAACCCTCAACCCCTCAACCCCTCAACCCCTCAACCCTAAAACCCCCTCAACCCCCTCAACCCTAAACCCTATAAACCCCTCAACCCTAAACCCTAAACCCTACACCCTACACCCCAAACCCTATAAACCCCTCAACCCTAAAACCCTAAGCCCTAAACCCTACACCCCAAACCCCAAACCCTATACACCCCTCAACCCCAAACCCTATAAACCCCTCAACCCCAAACCCTAAACCCTGAGCCCTTTTGGCTCCTCCGTCTGGCTTGGCGGGAGCATATCTTGCCGAGCCCGCAGCATGAGCCGGCCCTCGAAGGAGGGGGCCAAGTCCTGGCACTTTTTAGAGGGTTTAGGGTTTATAGGGTTTAGGCTTTTAGGGCTTTTAGGGCTTTAGGGCTTTAGGGTTTTAGGGGTTTAGGTTTATCAGGGTTGTAGGATTTTAGGGGTTTAGGGAGGGTTTTTCGGTTTTACGGTTTAGGGAGTTCTTGGGTTTAAGGGTTTAGGTTTAGGGGCGTTTAAGGTTGAGGGCTTTTGGGCCTGGAACTCTTTTTATTTGGGGCTTCTACGGTCCTGGGGAACCCCCAATATAGACCTCCAAATAGTAGGACTCCCTTATAACAAAGAGCCCAAGAAAAGTACCCCTAATATCGGGAACCCCCATTTGAATGGCCAATGATTGCGTTTAGTAGGGTTTTGTGTCACCAAAACAGACAGCACAGTGCTCAGACCCGAGACCATCCAAACCGTAAGCCCGGCAAAGGCACGCTACAAACACTACATGAACCCTGAACCCCCACACCCGAAACCATGAAAGTTGCACCCTACACCCTGTGAGCCTAATCAGCTCTCAACCCCGAACCCTAAACCCTAATCCCTAAACCCTAGCCCTAAACCCTAAGCCCTAAACCCGAAACCCCAAACCCGAAACCCTGAACCCGAAACCCTGACTCCCACCAGCCGGCACCTGGCGCTCGATGAGCGGAAAGTCGTTCCGCGGCAAGGGGCGGGCGGTGCCCGCGTTTCGAAGATACTGGCATCCCAGCATTGAGGGTGCAGGGTTCAGGGTTTGGGGCTAGCAAGGAGAGCTTTAAGGTCCGAGGGTTGAAGGGTTGAGGGGTATACAAGGGGTGTCAGGTTTAGGGTTTGGGGTTTATGTAGGGTTTCGGGTTTAGGGTTTAGGGTTTAGGGTTTAGGGTTTAGGGTTTAGGGTTTAGGGTTTAGGGTTTAGGGTTTTAGGGTTTTAGGGTTTTAGGGTTTTAGGGTTTTAGGGTTTTAGGGTTTTGGGCTCTAGAGAGTTGAGGGTTGAAAGTGTCCGGGCACAGGGTTACGGGCTCATGGGGTTTGAGGTTTTCCGGAGCTCCAGCTTCAGGTAGTACAGGGTTTAGGGTTTAGGGTTCCGGGTTTAGGGTTTGTGGTTTGGGGTTTAGGGTTTAGGGTAACCACAAAACCTCAAAACCCTAAACCTGAACACTGAAACCCCTAAGCCCTATAAACCCGGAAAACAAACCCTAAAGCCACTAAATCCCCTAAAACCTACGATACTCTCTCCAAAACAAAAATTGGCTGGAGAGCGCTCTCACGCACGGCGCCTGTTGAAAGTGCACAGCGTTGTAGGACTCGATCTCCTGCACACACGCACACACACCCACACGCACGCGCACGCGCGCACACGCGCGCACACGCGCGCACACGCGCGCACACGCGCGCACACGCGCGCACACGCGCGCGCGCACGCGCGCACACGCGCGCAGAGGCGCGCCACACGCGCGCAACACGCGCGCAGAGGCGCGCACACGCGCGCACACGCGCCCACACGCGCCCACACGCGCCCACACGCGCCCACACGCGCCCGCGCACGCACGCACGCACGCACGCACGCACACACACACACACACACACACACACACACTGGCTGAGGCTAGGGTTTAGGGTTTAGGGTTTAGGGTTTAGGGCTTAGGGCTTAGGTTTTAGGCTTCAGGCTTCAGGCTTCAGGCTTCAGGCTTCAGGCTTCAGGCTTCAGGCTTCAGGCTTCAGGCTTTAGGCTTTAGGCTTTAGGCTTTAGGCTTTCGGGTGTAGGCTTCGGGGTACAGGGTTCAGGGTTTAGGGTGTAGGGCTCCCCTTCAGAAACCTTTCAAGACCGAACTTTTGTAGGCTATCTAAGAACTCTATAAGGTGTCCCTCCTTCAATCCACAATCTCTGCATACTCCCCGGCCTGGTCACAAGCTAAGAGCCTCTCCATGTGGTTGTGTCGCTTCGTGACCTTGGCGGCACAAACATCCCAACGAAGCTCTATGGGGGCGTTCTGTAAATTGGGGTCCCCTTTTTGGGGTCCGTTTTATAAGGGTGACGCATTATTTGGGGGGCCCAAAAGGGACCGCAATTTAGAGATGGGCCCATCAGAAGAGCTACACTTGCAGTTCCAGGCTAGGACATCCTTTAGTCGATTTTAAGCTGCGGGTTGTTGCATAGGGATAGACGCAATAGCTTGAACTGTTTTTGAATGTCAACTGATCTAGAGTTGACATCCTCTCTGAGACATTCTGAAGAGACCCACATTTCCTAACTGCCTACTAGCAAAACCGGGATGCCTGAACCCTGAACCCTAAACCATATGACCCTCATGAAAACCCTAAAACCCTAAAACCCGGTAACGCCCCGCGAAACGACCCGCGCCGTAGCAGGCTGGTTTTTTGGGTTGTTTTGTTAGTTTTGTCGAGGTGAAAGCACGATTTCTGCATGACATTGTTTCGATAGCAGGGGCCAATGTCGCGCACCGTCCGAACGTTTGGAGCGAATGTTTTGTCGAGTTTGCGGTTGTGGGAAGCCTTTTTTTCGTGGTTTTTCCCAGGCGAAAAGCACGTTTTGGTGTTACATGTCACGGTCGCGCGTAAACAGGTTTTCACGGGTTTGCGGATAAAATGGGTTTTTTTTATTTTTTAAGTTAAAGTAGCGTCTCCGGAGCTTCCGGGGCTTAGTTGTTTTTTTTGGGGGGGGGCGTGTGGGGAAGGACAGGGCAGAATGGTATTTTTTCCTCGGAAAAACGCGCAGTTGGGTTTGACAAGGTCTGTTCTGGGGAATCCTTTTGAGACAGGAGAAAACTGGCATTCGTATGTGGTTCCTTGAAAACGTCATAGTGTTGTCGATTGAAAAATGTATTTTTTCTCGAGCGGTGCTAACGTTTCGGTGTTTTGTAGAAAGTTCAGAGTGCAGGGCGCTTCTCTGGTCTTGCACTGCTTCGGGCTTTGGTTTGAGGATTGAGGGTGCATGACACTTCTGGCTTACACTGCTTGGTGCTTTGGGTTGAGGATTGAGGGTGCATGACACGTTTGGGCTTGCACTGCTTCGGGTTTAGGGTTGAGGGCCTGGGGTGTAGGGTTTAGGGTTTAGGGTCAAGGGTTTAGGGTTTAGGGTTTGAGGGTTTAGGGTTTCGGGTTTAGGGCTTCATGGCTTAAAGCCCTGAAGCCTTTCCTATAGAGACTACTGAGCACTTAAGCCCCAAAGCCCTTCGCTTCTCAAGCTCTTAGGTCCGAAAATCCTGCAGACCCTAAACCCTAAACCCTCAACCAGCTTCTGTAAGCTCGCGAGGCGATGTTTTGGGTTTGGGTTGCAGGGCTTAGGGTTTATAGGGTTTAGGGTTGATAGGGTTTAGGGTTTAGGGTTTAGGGTTTAGGGTTTAGGGTTGAGGGCTTAGGGTTTCGGGTTTAGGGTTTAGGGTACAGGGTTTAGGGTTTAGGGTTTAGGGTTGAGGGTTTGGGGTTGAGGGTTTAGGGTTACGGGTTAAGGGGTGCTGTTGAGATTCGGGCTGAGGCTGGAATGGCTACTGGCTTTCTTTGGGCTTGCAGTGGTTGGGGTGGTAAATGAAGGCTTGAGGGTGCAGGACAGGTTTGGGCTCAGATTTTCTTCTTCCACATCCTTGTGCAGTATGTTGTACAAAGAGGTGAAAACGCTGTAAATACCAGTGTTTTGGGCATGCATGCAATATGAATGACGTTCTTATCCCCACCCCCCCCCCCCACCCATCTGGCACGAACTCCAAAGAAACGCCGGAAGACATGCGGCAACAACGCGAAAAGACCTGAAGACACATGGCAACAACTCCAAAAGACCTGAAAACAAGCAAAACCCGCGGGTCAATTGGTAGGGCGTTAGCTAAAACCCTAACCCAAATACCCTACAGTAATACCCTAAAACCCTAAAACCCTAAAACCCTAAAACCCTAAAAAACCCTAAAACCCCAAAACCCCAAAACCCCAAAACCCTAAAACCCTAAAACCCTAAACCCTAAACCCTAAACCCTAATCCCTAAACCCTACGAACAGGAGTACAGGACGCTGACTCCAAAGCCCAAGCGGCATTGTTGTCGTCAATCTCGCTAAAGTCGAACATGGCATCGCAAACGCCTTTTGCGGAGGCCTCGTAGCCGTACCTGTAGAGTTAGGGTTTTAGGGTTTGGGGTTTTGGGATTTTGGGATTTTGGGGTTTTGGGGTTTTGGGGTTTTGGGGTTTTGGGGTTTTGGGGTTTTGGGGTTTTGGGGTTTTGGGGTTTTGGGGTTTTGGGGTTTTGGGGTTTTGGGGTTTTGGGGTTTCGGGGGTTTCGGGGGTTTTGGGGGTTTTGGGGGTTTGGGGTTTTGGGGTTTAGGGGGTTAGGGATTTAGGGTTTTAGCATGTAGGGTTTGGGGTTTCAGGGTTTAGGGCCCTTCCCACAGAGGGCACAAGAATCACAATGGAAGCTCCACATGCAACCCTAAACCCTAAACCCTAAGACCCAAACCCCAAACCCCAAACCCCAAACCCTAAACCCTGAACCCTAAACCCTAAACCCTAAACCCCAAACAAAAATAAAAAAAGACACAGGGGACCCCCTGGCCTGGCCACCAGGGGCTTCTGCAGCTCGAGGAGCAGCTGCTCCCTCCTTGGGGACGAAAGGAACCCTCAAAGGGGAAGAAAGGGTTTATGGTTCATATCACCTGAATAGGAGTTGCAGTCCCTAAACCCTAAACCCTAAACCCTAAACCCTAAACCCTAAACCCTAAACCCTAAATCCCAATTGTAAGGTTCCTTTGGTCCCCAGGGCGCCTCTGAGCGGCCACCAGGGCCGACGGGCCGTCGCCCTGAGGGCTATTAGGGGGGGGGGGGGGGGGGGGGGGGGGTGGTGTAGGGGAACATCCCAACCAAAAGCCCTTAACTCCTAGGACCGCGTCGGCCACAAAACCCCTAAATACCTGAAACCCGAATTAACCCTAAAGCACCTGAAAGCCGAATGAAGCCCGCGCATTTGAACCCGAAACCTGGCCCAAAACCCCAAAGAAGCCCCTCAAACAAGAACACCAAACAGCAACCCAACCGCAAACAAAAGAAACTAAAGACTCAAAAACAAAAACACAAATCCCTCGAAATGGAAACCAAACAGAGACAAACCAAATAAAACGAGATACTAATCGCATAAGAACATAAACCAAGCAAAATGGAGGAAACCAAGAAAACTAAACAGTCCTTCTCCAACAGCCCTAAACCCTAAACCCTAAACCCTACTTGTGAGGGCGGCGCAAAAACCCTAAACCCTAAACCCTAAACCCTAAACCCTAAACCCTAAACCCTAAACCCTAAACCCTAAACCCTAAACCCTAAACCCTAAACCCTAAACCCTAACCCTAAACCCTAAACCCTAAACCCTAAACCCTAAACCCTAAACCCTAAACCCTAAACCCTAAACCCTAAACCCTAAACCCTAAACCCTAAACCCTAAACCCTAAACCCTGCCTGAACCCTGAACCCTGAACCCTGAACCCTGAACCCTGAACCCTGAACCCTGAACCCTGAACCCTGAACCCTGAACCCAAAGCAGCGCCTTCATCTGCCGCGCCAAGCTCTGGAGCTGGGCGAAGGTGGACTTCTCTGCGTAGGCCTCCGGCAGGGTTTACGGTTTATAAGGGTTTAGGCCTTGTAGGTTCTTGGTGTGTTTAGGGGTTTGGGGTGTTTGGGGTCCTTAAGGTGAGTTTGAGCTCCTGCACTTTGATCTCGGGCATTCTTGGGCCCCAGAGTCGTTTCTAAGTGGTGACTTGTGGGTCTGGGAAGATGGATTCTTAGGGGGCAGGTTTCGGATGTTTGGGGCTTGGGGGGCTTGAGGTTGTTGCTTAAGGTCTTTATGGGCTCTGGGGGGTTTAAGGATTTAAGCTTTGGGGGGTCGTGTGCTTGTCCGCTTAGCAAGGTTCGTGCTTTAGTATGCTTTAGTCTTTATTGCAAAGTTTTGCAGGGGCCTTGCCTTTTGGGATTCGAATTTGCGAAGTGGCAAGCCTCCCGCACCCTAAACCCTCCACACCTCAGCCGCCTCAGCCCTATAAACCCTCCCCCCCCCCCCCAAAAAAAAAAAAAGAAAAACACAAGTCGAACCTCTAAACTTGCAACCCCAAGGCCTATATTAAACCTCAACCCCCTCAACCACAAACTGAAGAACCATGGACCTGAAATTCGACCACCGGGTCACAGTTGCAGGCTTGGGGGACTCGACTTTGGTTGGGGTTTGCCATCATAAGAACCCACAACTCGGATACCTGACGATCTCAAAGGGGCGTTCGATACCTACAATGAAGTGAGCTTTGGGGTTCTTCAGGTAACAGGGAACTTTCGGGAAACTCCTAGGGCTCTTGCGAGGATCCCATGAACCTCTTAGAATATAGGGAACTTTGCCGGGAAATCTTAGGCTTTTGTTTGCAAGGATCCCTTCCGCATCCTGGATGAGCTCATCCTGGAGCTGGGTCGCCCGCTCGATCTCCAGGACCATGGCGCCCGGGTCACCGAAAGCTCTGATGACTTCTGGGGATCGCAGCAGGATTTGTAGACCGCGTGTGTTGAAGGTTTGGGTGTGGGTTTTAAGGCTTATTGGGTTTGGGCTTAGGGTTGAGGGCTGACATTCACAAACTCCCATGGTGAGTGTTGCATAGTCCAAGATTCCAACCTTCACCTGACTGAACTCTCAACCCTACAAACCTTGATTAAAAACCCAACAAGCTGCCGGTCTGAGCCAAGGAGAAAGCGACGCTGATGAGGGCCAGCGCCCAAAGGACCCTACAGGCGCATCTTGCAGGTAAGGCATATAGGGCTTGTATATAGGAGGGCTTTCGGGGGTTTAGGGTTTAGGGTTTGGGTTTCAGGCTTGCGGTTTATAGGGTATGGGGCCTAGGGCTTAGGGTTTACAGTTTACAGGGCTTCGGGTTGAATGAACACCCCCAAGTCGGGGGGCGGATAGCCTTCTGGGGTGCCGGTGTCGCCATGGAGCCACTTGAGATTGCGGGTCCCTTTCCTCTTACCTTGAGAAGGTAAGGTTTAGGGTTTAGGGTTTAGGGTGTTATTTCGGGTTCCATGAATATCGTAACCTCATATCATACCTACCACGAGACCCTTTGCAAAAGAGTTCTTGTCATGTCTCTGTGCGCGTGCCCTGTTTATACGAGGGCTCAGGTCTTAGGGTTCAAAGCCTTGTATAAGTCCCAAGCCCCACCCACCCACCCCATCACCCGCCCACAACCACACCTCAGGCGGCCTAAACCTGAACCCTCAACGCGAAACTAATCCCTAAACCCTATAAATCCTATAAACCCTCTAAACCCTGAACCCGAACCCCTGAACCCTAAACCCTGAACCCCGTGAACTGAAGCAGCGCGCTTTCCACGCTCTCATCGCACTCCGACTTTCAGAACGGCGCCACCGCATCTGCGCTGCAACCTGCGAGGCTTTTAGGTTTATAGGGTTTAGGGTTTATAGGGTTTAGGGTTTAGGGTTTATAGGGTTTATAGTGTTTAGGGTTTAGGGTTTATGGTGTTAGGGGCTGAGGGTTGGTGGATGTCTGAGCAATGAGAAGCCAGGATTCTGCGATAAGATTCATAGGCGGCATCCTGGACGAAAGAAGGGTTTAGGGTTTAGGGCTTTAGGCTTTAGGGTTTAGGGTTTAGGGTTTAGGGTTTAGGGTTTAGGGTTTAGGGGTTCTTGACCCTCCTGCTGTCTCGCTGCAGCATATGCCAGGAGAAAAGGGCAAACCTTCCTGGTGGCAAGATCCCACCTTTGCACGGGAATGCGAGAAGCGCTCCTTTCAAGGGACTAAAGGAGGGACCCACCTTAGGTGGGGGCTATTTAAGGGCTACTCAGGTATGCAGGGGACTAAATTCGGCATTTATAGGGCTGAGGGGAATAAGATTAAGGGTCCCTTCTATATAAGGGTCCCTCCTTATACCCCTTAATCCTTGGAGGGCGCTTCTGGCCCTTTGGAATGGGACTCGCGGAGGGAAGGCCTCAGGCGCAACAGAGTTGAAGGATTGGACTCTCTCCAAGATGCCAAATGCTGTGAGTATAAAGATGCCATAAGACGTGCTACAAGGCACTGGCAATGCTCCACTTCGGCTGTCCCGCCCTCCCTTCGTCAAGCCGCTTCCCCTGGCGCACTTCGGCGCCAAGGGCGGGCGCCAAGACATGCGAGCCGAGCCCGTGGAAGATTGAAACCACCGACGTGCGGGCACTGCAAGTCCAGCGTTACATCCTGCACTCTCTTCACCCCCGGCATGGCTGCTTGTGTGTGTGTGATGCTTCTGTTGCTGTGATGAGAGTGATATGCCGGCACCACTTCCTCAAACTTTTGCTCAGAAAATGTCCTGTGTAACCCTGGGCAGCGTGCACCGCACTTCGGAATGACTCAGAGCAACGTTAGGGTCAAGCATCAGGCACTGGCGGTGTGGCCGTTCGCTGAGCTGCTTGAGAACTGCGAACTAATTAAATGTAGGCTCGCGGATGCAGCAAGCCTTTCAAGAAAGGCTCAGTCCATGTACTCCCCCGCCGCAGTATCGGGAATGGAGGCCCCTCCGTCGGCCGTCTGATCCACTTGCCCCCGCCGGCACATCCCGCCGCGGCGAGGCGGCTTCTTCGCCTGGCCCTTGCTGAGGATGCAGGGCGGGCAGGAGAAGACGGCCACGGGCAGGTCCGGCTCGAAGACGACCTTCAGCACCTCGCACTCGTGGGGCTCGGCGTGGACGCTGGTGAGGGCCGCGGGCTTTCCGGAATCCAGGACCACCAGGTCACCCAGCGCCAGTTTGCCAGCCGCCTGGTAGAGAATTTCTGCCACCTCGCCCTTTTTGTCGGGGACCTGCACGGGATGGTCTGGGGTGACCTGCAGCGTGGCAACCCCGGCCTCTAACCTGACGATTTCGGCGGTTCGGCCTTTCGACATGTCCACCACCTCCAGGATGTTCTCGCCGTCCCCGGCCACCACATGCGAGCCCTTCCGGAGGTCCTTGCCCGCAAGATAGAAGTCCATGACGGAGCTGCGGCACTTGAAGACGGCGTCCAGCATGAAGCAGCCCGGCTGGACGGAGAACCCTGACGAGCGGACCGTCGAGGCGGGCTTGCCGGCATCGCCCTCACCCTCGCCCTGGACCACCTCGTACCCCATCTGCTCGGCGAGGTTCGATTCAGGGCTGGAGGCAACTTCAGGGAGATTCGGGCCGTGGCTTGCAAGGGTGTCATGAATCGGGAGCCCGCCTTTCATCTCAGCAAGCTGGCAAGCCAGCTGAGCTGACGGCAGCGCTCCTTGTACGCACCCTTCTCCTCCCGCATCTGGCCCAACTTCTCCTCCGCTTTGGCCAGCTGCAGCCCGAGCAGATCGCCACGCTCCTTGAGGGCTGCATTCTCAAGCAGGGTCTGCAAGTCTGCCTTGTTTCCGGAGACAGCCTCCGCAGCAGCCAAACGGGCCGCGAGCTGCTCGCAGTGCTCCTTCTGCTTGTCACAATCTGCCTGCAACCTATGGAGCTCACGTTGCTTTCCTGACGCCTCGGCCTCTGATGCCTCCAAACGACGCGCAAGCTGCTCGCACCACTCCTTCTGCGCGACACCCTCGTCCTGAGCGGCCTGGACCTCGCGCGCCTTGTCCGCCAAGGTCGCTTCCGCCGCCGCCAGGCGCTCCGCGAGCAGCTCGCTCTGGTGCCTCGCGGCTTGGAGCTCCCGCAGCTTCTCGGCACTTGCCGCCTCCACTGCCTCCAAGCTGGCGCCGAGATGTGCGTTCTCCGCTTCGGCGGCTTCCACGCGCTCGGCGAGCTGCCTATTCTCCTCCCGCAGCGGGTCCGCCTCCTGGCCCCTCTCCTCCACTTTCTGCCGCTTCCGCGCCGTCTCCTCGGCATCGGCCTCGGCCGCTGCCAGCCGCGCAGCGAGCTCCGAGCAGCGAGGGCGGAGCCGAGCCTCCCACCACTCCGGCGAAGGCGTCCAACTCCAAGCCTCTCGCTTCAGCCCCGCCTCCGAGAAGAACTTGACGTAGCCCCGGCTGAACTCGCTCCGCCCGTGCTGGACGAGCAGCTCGGCGAGCCGCTCCCGGGAGCGGTCCTTGTTCAGACCGCGCCAGGCCGCCGCCTCCGCCGGCCGCGCGGCCCAGAGCTCCACGGCCCGCGCCATCAGTGCCTCTCGGGCGCGCTGCGCATCGGCACGAGCAAGGTCCCACTTCGCCGAGTGCAGGAAGGCGTCGAGGACGGTCTCCAGGGGCCAGCCGGCCGGGACCGTGGTCAGCTCCCAGAGCTTCGGCATGCGATCTTGAGAACGAAAAAGGAACACCTTTTAAGTGTGGGCAGCGGGCGGGCTCTCTCCTGGAAATTCCTGTCTCTGAGCCGGGCTCGCGCATGCGCACTGGCAAGAAGAACAAAGCGAGACTCTCAATGCAAGGGATGCCCTCCACAGCCCTGAGACTGCAAACTTTGCGCAACACATCTGCGAAAAACCCTTCGATAGGTGAAAGCAGCCAGAGCAGCTCCAAAGTTCAGAAGCAACTGGTCATGTTGCACGCCTTGCCGCGCAGCGACTCCGCGCCCATCTTCCGCACCAGCTCCGCAAGATCTCGGTCCAGGGTGTCGGGTCGGACAAATTCTAAACCCTAAGCCCTCAACCCTCAACCCTGAACTCAATTGGAATCATGGAGAGTACACTCTGACCCTCACACAACCACATGTTCAAGCGCGGAGGAGATCCACCTGGGGCTAGGTCAGCCCCCGGCTCGATCTCCAGGACCATTGCGCACGAGACGCTGGTGACAAGCTCAGATGTGGGTTGGGGATTTGGGGCTTCTGGACTCAGGTTTTGGGATTCACGGTGAAGAGGGAGGTACTGAAATACTGCAAAAATGTAGGGTTGAGGGTGAAAGAGGGAATGCTGACAGGATTCGTCTACAAACCCCCGAGTCTGAGTCTGAGCCGCGAAGAATACGACCGTCGAGAGTGTGCCGAAATTCTGGGAGGACGGGGAAGCTCTCCCTCGAATCTTGAGGTTTCAAAAGGACTCTGGCTAGGGATGTGCCCCCTTTCTGCTGCAGTAGTCCCCTGAAACAACCCTGCGCGCAGCCAACAATCTTCGAACCCCAAAAAGACCGTAAGTAACCCCAAAAGCATCTAAACCCTGACAAGCCCTTACGCTATAAAAAAAATATGCATTCATATATATATATATATATATATATATATATATATATATTTTTTTTATCTATATACAAACCCACTAACAAAACCCTAGGCGCACGGCTTCATCAATCTGAGGCCGACACTTCTTTTTTTTGTTGGGGGGGGAGGGGTGGATTGAGTCGGAACTTAGGGTTCGTTCTTTTTCGGAGTGTGCTTTATACACAAGGGCTTTGTAGGGTGTTAGGGGAGAAGCCTTTATACAAGAAGGCACCCGGCAGTCAGAGTTTTCAAGGAAGCCCGGGGCTCCAACTCGCAGGACTTTCGAGGCCCGGAAAAGATGGTGGGTTTGATAAGCATCATGAAGCAAAATGGTGGCCTTAGAAGCACAACCCCACACACAACAAGTGTTCTGAAGATCGGGCTTCGGCTGCCTTTTGTGGGCTTTTCTGGCCTCTTTAGCTCAGCTGTACACCCTACGAATCCTCCCTGCCAACCCCAGAACACCACTCGGTTTTGTGACAGTTTTGTGGTCCCAGTTACCTTCGTAAGGCATATACAGTCCCAGTTCCAGGGCTCCTGTAGCCCCCAAGGTTTGAGCTATCTCAGCATTCTTATAACCCCCTGAATCCTACCTCCAAACCGTTCAAACCCCCCCTAAACCCCATAACGCCCTGAAGCCCTGAATCCTACCTCCAAACCGTGCAAACCCCCCCTGAAGCCTATAACACCCTGAAGCCCTGACGCCCCTACAGAACAGCCCGCTCTCCGTGCTCTCCAACGCGCAGCAACTTAATTCAAAAATGCGAGGTCCACTCCGCCACACCTGCGACCCGATGAGCCGCAGATGGGTTTAGGGCTTGAGGATTTCTAGGGGTGAAGTTAGTTAAAGGTTTAGGGGGTTTAGGAGGTTCAGGAGGGTTAGGAGGTTAAGGAGGTTAAGGAGGTTAAGGAGGCTTAGGAGGTTTAGGAGGTTTAGGAGGTTTAGGAGGTTTAGGAGGTTTACGGCTTCAGAGCTTTATAGGGCTCAGGGTTTCAAGTGTTGGAACCGGGATTCTGCTGGTTCAGAGCTCCTGGATGGGTTGATGCTTTTGGTGTTTTATAGGGGGTTTAGGGTTTAGTGTCATGGCACTTGGAGGGCTACCTAGCTAGTCAGCAGCCAAGTGCAAGGCTACTCATGTGCTTTGGGGGTTGAAGGGTCTAGGATGCTTCGGGTTTAGGGTTTAGGGTTTAGGGTTTAGGGTTTAGGGTTTAGGGTTTAGGGTTTAGGGTTTAGGGTTTAGGGTTTAGGGTTTAGGGTTTAGGGTTTAGGGTTCAGGGGTTTAGGGGTTTAGGGGTTTAGGGGTTTAGTTGTCGCGGCCCAGAGTCTTGGCGTTTTGACTTGGGCTTCAAGGAGCACCTGATTGTCTTGTCCTAAGAGGCCTGAAGCTGCAGCGTTCCTGGTCATCTTCGCCTCAAATCCTGAACCACAACCCTGAAACCGTTAACCCCGAAGCCCGAAGCCTGAAGCCAACCCTAAACCCCAAACCCCCTTCCCTTCCGCCCCAAAACACTAAACCTTCGTGGGGGTGTTCGGGGGGGCCTCCAAAAAGCACAGGATGCCTTGAGCTTTTTTAATTTTTTAGGGCTTGAGGATGTCCGAGCCTCCTGGGGCTTGAGGAGGTTTGGGGTTTTCAGGGATGGCGAGGGGGATTTCTGGCGGTATTACATGGGGTTTAGGGAAGCTCTGGGCTTGTGGGTCTCAGTGGCTCGGGGAGCCTCAGCTTTGTCGGGGTATTATGGGCTCTATAACTCCTACATGTGGCGACGCTTCTATAATTAAGCTTCTCGGAACTTGAGGACCCCCATGTGGCAGAGCTTGACTTCGTCCAGACACCAAAGGCGAGGCCCAGGCTCGCGCAAGAGACCAAAGTGCCTGGCGATGCTGGAGGGTGCAAGCGCCAGGCTGATGTGTCGTTCTAGGTGTATCGGTTTCTCGTAACACCTTGCAATTAAGTCACGGCTTCGGGCAGCGCGGTTTTTGCTCTGAAGCACGAGTCAAATGCGGA